CTCGACATAGGGATAGTGATCCGGCGGCGGCGTTAGCTAACTTCTTAAAAGCTTTATATTTTAGAAGCTAGAAGACCTGGATGCTTCATACTTTGTATATAGATGCCTTATGATATGAAGTTTCCGTCTGTCATATGTCCATTGTCCTTGACCTCATTTTCATGGTTCAGTGATTACTTAAAAAAAAGTCAACATTTTTTGTAATGTTTATTTTTTTCTTATTATGAGTAATAGGATAACCATATTTAGTATGTGCATACCTTGCAAGGTCCTCATGCCCATCAGACAATTTTCATTCGACCTCAACCTCATTTCATGGATCAGTGAACAAGGTTAAGTTTTCGTGGTCAAGTCCATATATCAGATACTATAAGCAGTAGGTCTACTATATTTAGTATATGGAATGATTGTAAGGTGTACATGTCCAACTGGTAGGTGTCATCTGACCTTGACCTCATTTTCATGGTTCAGTGGTCAAAGTTAAGTTTTTGAGTTTTGGTTTTTTTTTCTAATACTATATGCAATAGGTCAACTATATTTGGTGTATGGAAATATTTTATGATGTACATGTCAGTCTCGCAGGTTTTATTTGACCTTGACCTCATTTTCACTGTTCATTTCTCAGTGTTAAGTTTTTGTGTTTTGGTCCGTTTATCTTCAACTATAAGCAATAGATCAATTATATTTGTTGTATGGAAGGATTGTAAGGTGTATATGTCTGTCTGGCAGGTATCATCTGATCTTGACCTCATTTTCATGGTTCATTGGTCAATGTTAAGTTTTAATGGTTAAGTTTGTTTCTTAGATACTATAAGCAATAGGTCAACTATATTTAATGCATACATTGATTGTAAGGTGTACATGTCTGTCTGGCATGGTTCATCTGACCTTGACCTCATTCTCATGGTTCATTGGTCAATGTTAAGTTGTCTTGGTTAAGACTGTTTCTTAGAAACTATAAGCAATAGGTCAACTATGTTTGGTTTATTGAATGATTGTAAGGTGTTTATGTATTTCTCGTTTGGTTTATCTGACCTTGACCTCATTTTCTTGGATCATGTTAAGTTTATGTGTTACTTGTAGTAAAGCTTTATATTTAGGACTATCAACATAAAATCAATGGTTAGTAAAGAAGGCGAGACATTTCAGCGTGTGCACTCTTGTTGTGTTTAGGTCTGTTTTTCTAATACTGTAAGCAATAGGTCAAGTATATTTGGTGTATGAAATTATTGTAAGGAGTACATGTCTTTCTGGCGGGTATGATCTGTCCTTGACATTTTCACGGTTCATTGATCAATGCTAAGTTTCAGTAATAAGGTCCTTTTATAAGATACTATAAACAATAGGTCAACTATAGTTGGTGTATGGAATGATTGTAAGGTGTACATGTCTTTTTGGCAGGTATCATCTGTCCTTGACATTTTCACTGTTCATTGATCTGAATGTTAAGTTTCAGTAGTAAGGTCCTTTTATAAGATACTATAAACAATAGGTCAACCATAGTTGGTGTATGGAATGATTGTAAGGTGTACATGTCTGTCTGGCACTCTGGCAGGGTTCATCTGACCTTGACCTCATTTTCATGATTCATTGGTCAATATTAAGTTATCATGGTTTGGTCTGTTTCTTGTATACTATAAGCAATAGGTCAACTATATTTGGTGTATGTAATGATTGTAGGGTGTACACTTCTGTCTGGTTTGGTTTATCTGACCTTGACCTCATTTTCATGGATCATTGATAATGTTAAGTGATATGTGTAGTAAAACTTTATCTTTAGGACTATCAACATTAAATTAATTATGGTTAGTAAAGAAGACGAGACATTTCAGCATGTCTACACTTGTCTTTGTAAATATATACCTATTTTTCAATGTAAAGTTTGTACTGAACAGTTACAAATAACTACAAATGTTGGTCCAGTCTTGTCTACTGTCTTTAAACTTGAAAAATAACAGATTCTTCTTCATTGCAGAAATTGAGATGATATTTGGTATACAAATGTCAAAGGAGTAGAAATAGTACTGATTACATTTAAGCTTAGTTCTTATTGACCTACATTTGACCTAATTATAGCTATTTGACCTAACAAATTTCTTCTCCGTTTATGGTCTAGTTTTTAGATACTGAGCTGATCTGTCAGGCCAAATATGAATTCCATTATGATAATCATACTTTTGGTCTAAAAACAAGTTGCTGGATTTGGTGAACCCTTTATAAATATGGGAAAGGGTTTTATGCATTCTATAAGGTTCAAATGGCTGGATATAACATATTACATTCAAATTAAATGATTTGTTAGCAGGAAATAAAACTTTTTCCTTAGGAATTAGTGTTTAAATATTTGCAAGGTGGAATGTCCCTTTAAAGATATACCTATATAATGGAAAGTTTTTGTTGATTTCTTATGGTGAAGAAGGTAAGTTAATATGCTCTATGAATTTAAAGCGCAAGATTTTTTTACATACTCTGATGGAGTAGGTAAGTTTATAGTGACTATCTCTTGCAAATTGGAGGAAGTTTGTGAGTTTTATTAGTACCCTTCATAAGGGCAATTTTTTCTTGACTTATTCTGGTAAATTTGGTAACTTTGATAGGGAATACCCTCAATGAAGGGTAAGCTTTGCAATCTGTGAATGAATAACCTCTATAAAGTAACATTTACCGGATCTTTGTAATAACCTCTATAAAGTAACATTTATCTGATCTTTATAATAACTTCTATAAAGTAACATTTACCTGATCATAATAACCTCTATAAAATAACATTTACCTGATCTTTATAATAACCTCTATAAAGTAACATTTACTGGATCTTTATAATAACCTCTATAAAGTAACATTTACTGGATCTTTGTAATAACCTCTATAAAGTAACATTTACCTGATCTTTATAATAACCTCTATAAAGTAACATTTACCTGATCATAATAACCTCTATAAAATAACATTTACCTGATCTTTATAATAACCTCTATAAAGTAACATTTACCTGATCATAATAACCTCTATAAAATAACATTTACCTGATCTTTATAATAACTTCTATAAAGTAACATTTACCTGATCATAATAACCTCTATAAAATAACATTTACCTGATCTTTATAATAACCTCTATAAAGTAACATTTACCTGATCTTTATACGAAATGCAAGTAGGGAATCAGTTTTGCTTTGTTACTAAGTTTTATCTTTCTACTTTATTTTACCGTCCTGCTGGGAAACAACTGCTTTTCTGCTTTATATACAACAGAGAGCAGTTGGTTTGCTATATGATACATTTAAAGACACAAAATATCTTTATATTTTTATTTTGATCTGTAGTTATTATGATATTTATCAGTTTTAATGATGATGTTGAATTTACATGTGAAGAAATAATGACATATTGATGAGTGGTGTTGTGAACTGTGGTAATAATGTCTTATCCCTGATGAGATAGACACATTTTACTCTTCTTCAGTTGATGTCACAGAAATTCCACATTATACTATAAGCTTGTAAATGTCAGGACTCAAGTCTTGTTTTTGTATCATTGCATAATAGTATGTGCATGCAGTGTAGTTAAACCTTCTTTCATGATACAAGGTGCAGCATTAGTATTTTATGATTACTCATGCTGTTTTGTGACATATATATTTAAAAACTTGGTTAATTGAATTCTCTTTTTTATGGTTTCCTGAAAATTGGTATTACAATATTTGGTTGTTGTTAATTTTTGTGCAGACCATATATCTTGTACTTATTAATTGTTAGTGTATAGAAATACAAATGGTTTTTCCTTAATTACATTGTGCTTCTTTCAAGTTCTTACTATGTAAATGTGTTTTAACTGTTACAGAAAATAGAAATGGTCTTTGTTTTATTATTCATTGCCAAATATATAAGTGATAGATATCTTTCCAAATTTAAGTATGTAAGAAATTTCGGACGTTTTTTCAATTATATTTGTGAGTGTAGCCATAAAAGGTTAGTTATTGAAGTTTTTAGTGATATATATGTATAGAGTTTTGTTGTAAAGTAGTTAATGTTCGATATAATTGTCTCGCACAATCTGGTGATGAATTAAACTCAGACATGGTAATAAATCTTACTTTATTGTAACTTCTCAGTAATGACTGCTCGTAGCCAGGCCTTAAAGTTAAATTATCCTGTCCAACATAGAATCAAGTATTGACGGTGCATAGACAATTAATTTCCACGTCTAACACGGGATGGATTCTTGACCAATGAATTTGCAGTTTTGTATAGAAACTGGTGGTTATTTAGTTAAGGATTAGTGTTTTTAAAAAACGATTTATAAATAAAGAAAATATCGATAATCTGTTTTAAGAGATAAAGAAGTTATATTTGTAGTATCAATGTCTTTTGGAAAGTACTATTTAGGGGGTACAGCACATTCACCATTTGCAGAATTAAAAATATATTATATAAAACTATAAAGTATATTTTTAAATCTACTCATTGTTTAAAGCATGAGTTTTATTAAACAATGATGATGATTGTATATAATAGACAAATATTGTATGATATTGTATGCGTATTCATGATGATAACATGTTATTTAAATTTGATATACCCTGCTTTGTTCTAGACGGACAGTCTGGGTCAGATTTGTAATGTTCTGGCTCACAAGGAAATAGTCCACAAAAAGACATGCCACCCTTTTCAAACAAATTAATATTCTGACTGAAGAAGCAGCAAATACCAATTTTAAATTTTTGGTATAACCGGGTTCAATCCCCATGACCCACAATTGAGGTAAGCATGAGGATGATACTTCCGAGGTGGTTCATGAGTAAATGATTACATGGGTTACATCTTGACCATTCATGAAGTATTTTCCACTGGATGTTTAAGAAGCAATCAATCAATCAAAAATACCACAAAAGTAATGTCCAGTACATATATGTAACTGTTTAAAATATTACTTAAGTCACTGTACTTAAGTAACTGTAAGTGAAAAATAAATTGCATAATGTTCTTCTTTTTATTACAGCATTCAACTGTAATCAATATATAGAGAGTAAGACAAAACATGGTATAATTACTAGTCAGAATCATCCAGGTTCATACCCAGCATCTACACGATGTACCTATATATTTAATGGAACAGCCGAAGAAAGAATACAAATAAAGTTCACAAGGATGGATCTATTTTTTGATGGAGGGAACCCTAATGAACCATATGAGTAAGTCGTAAGGGAAGATTAATCTTTAACATTTTATGGGAAAAGGTAAAGAGTTTTACAATTTTGAAGTATTCATTTTTGATTTATGGATAATGTTTCAAAATCACTGCAATAGATATTTCAGATCAAGTTTATACTTGAAAATTATAAAGAAAAGTCTTTTAAAAATCTAGTTCATACTTACCCCCCCACAAAAAACTGAAAAGTATGGTCATGTGATGTAGCTACCATATTGAAGATTGATGCTTGCAAATCATGAAAAATGTTTTCTTATCTTTTCTTTTTCTAGTTGTGATGGCCAAGACTCCATAAAAATTTATATAAAAATAGACAATGATGAAAAAGAATTAGATTATACCTGTGGGAAAAAGATTCCAAAAATGGTTATGTCAAACATTCCATGGATGAAGGTTGTTTTTGAGAGTGGGAGCAGAACACAACACTCTAATACAGGGTTTGCATTTGAGTATAAATTTTTAACAAGTAAGTTTAATATTAAATCAAATGAAAGGTTAAATAAGTATGTACAATCTCAGTTTGCTTATCCAAGAAGCTTTCCAGTAGGCCAAAACTTCCATAATACCAAAAGGTCAAAACATCCATAATACCAATAGGTCAAAACTTCCATAATACCAATAGGTCAAAACATCCATAATACCAACAGGTCAAAACATCCATAATACCACATCCATTATACCAATAGGTCAAAACATCCATAATACCAATAGGTCAAAACATTCATTATACCAATTGGTCAAAACATTCATTATACCATTGACTAGGATTGTCAGTTTTCCTATCGAAGGTTAGTGGTTTTCTCCGAGCACTCCGGCTTCCTCCACCAATAAAAACTGGCCGCCTCGAAATAGCCCAAAAGCAGTGCTGTAAAGTGGTGTTAAAACACCAAAAAAAATCAATCAAATCCATTGTACCAACAGGTCAAAACATCCATTATACCAATAGGTCAAAACATCCATTATACCAATTGGTAAAAACTTCAATAATACCAATAGGTCGATACATCCATAATAGCAATAGGTCAAAACATCCATTATACCAATAGGTCAAAACATCCATTATACCAATAGGTCAAAACATCCATTATACCAGTAGGTCAAAACATCCATTATACCAATTGGTCAAAACTTCCATAATACCACATCCATTATACCAATAGGTCAAAATATCTATAATAGCAATAGGTCAAACCATCCATTATACCAATAGGTCAAAACATCCATTATACCAATTGGTCAAAACTTCCATAATACCACATCCATTATACCAATAGGTCAAAACATCCATAATACCAATAGGTCAAAACATTCATTATACCAATAGGTCAAAACATCCATTATACCAATTGGTCAAACTTTCCATAATACCAATAGGTCAAAACATCCATTATACCAATAGGCCAAAACATCCATAATAGCAACAGGTCAAAACATCCATTATACCAATAGGTCAAAACATCCGTTATACCAATAGGTCAAAACATCCATTATACCAATAGGTCAAAACATCATTAATACAATAGGTCAAAACATCATTAACCCTTTCACCGATAGCTGCCCCAACAGAAGCTACTCTGAGACAATGGCTTCCCTGGCTACTATGACTCAAGTGGGAGATCTTCATAATAAATATCAATAGAAACTAGTGTGTTATTTTTGTCTTTATTTCATTCACTAACACCATGTTCACAGTTTTGTTCATGTTTTGATAATTGTTTCTTCATAAAAAATTAAAATTTTCAAATTTTCGGCATTATTTAGGTGGAATTCTCAAAATTCTACTTTTTGACCCAAAATCCTAATTTTTTAACCCAAAATGGCATAAGTTTGAAAACTGATTGAATGAGGCTGTACAAATTCCTTACACTGAACGATGTCCATTCCAAGTGTTTTGTACATAAAACGACATTTTCTGTCAAAAAAGTATACTAGTCTGGCTTCAATTCTTCCATATTCTTTAAAAAAAAATGTTCCCTTATTTCAAATTCTCGTACATTCCGTGAATTTCATCTGATTTTGACACGGTTTTCAACAAACGAAAGCGCCATGTTTACACTTTCATCCGGGTATCAACAAAGAAAGATAACTCATGCAATGTTTTGAGCGGGAAATGTAAAAGAGGTATTCCGATCCCGGTAAAACGGGACTCATCGTTAGCTGTCTGAAGCGTGAATCCCGGTAAACCGGGACTAGTCAGCGAAAGGGTTAATACCAATAAGTCTAAACATCAATTATACCAATAGGTCAAAACTTCCATAATACCAATTGGCTTAAACATGTTTTTCATTTTGCAGTTATAAGTCATTTCTTCAAACTGATCAACTGGGGAAGGGGGGATGAATTTTAACCCTATTGCTGAAATATGTAGTTGATAAGGTATGAAATGTAATAAACTTCTTGAGGCAACAGTGGCTCAGCAGTTTATTTACAGTGATCGCTAGCCTGTCAACAATGAGGTTGTTAGTTTAAACCCCACTCATGACAAGGTATATTTGACTCCAATCTTAATTGACTAGGATTTCCAGCTTTCCTGCCAAAGGTCAATGGTTTTCACAGCATTCTCTTGCTTCCTCAAACAATAAAAACCAGATGCCATGATGTTCCAAAGGTAGCTGAAAGTGACATTAAACAGCAACAAACAAACAAATAAACTTTTTACCATCAAAATCCAATGTTTTACTTTAGTTTCTTTCATGTTGTCCTGAATATATGCATGCAATATTGACCACTGGACTTAAGAACTCTGGTGGATAGTTGTCTCATTTGCAATCATCTGCATCTCCTTATATTTATAATGGCAGTTCTCTTAACAGATACAAATGTTTTTGGTTTTTTTTCAAATATGTTTCAGGTTATATATTTGTTAACCAATATTTGGCTTCCAACCATTTTACATATTTTATGGTTTCATTTTTTGGTTTGCTGCCATGCAGTGGGGAAATTTAGCTAATGTCAATTTCCATTTTATTTATATTTCACCAATTCCAAGTTTTTAAATTTATCTTTTATGAAACATGGACAAGCTGACTGAAAAAAAAACTTAGCGTAATTATGTAATGACTTAAAATAATATTGCAGTCCTCACTTTTCTTGGTGTAAACTTTATCGAAGTCTTTGCATGTCTGATAGCATGTTTCCAGTATTTGACATGTAAATTGCACTTTTAGCTCCTTACATTGCAGTAATTGAATTCCAGATTGATGGTATAACAACTGGAGCCTTTATTGTAAAACATGTTTTATGAATAAGTTTCACAGAAAAATAGGATGTTATTTGTGGCTAAGTGTATTAGTTATCAGAATTTGTGAAATTTGATGAAATGTTTTTTACAGCAAATAAAATTAAACTTTGTAAATTGCGTTGTTATTGCATGATATATTATTTCACAATCCCTACATAAACACCTTTCATGTTGACATGACATAATCTCTCAAATAGACAATGAAATCTCAAAGAAAATTATAATAATTAAATTTAGGAACAGTCCATTGTACATTTCCCATAAAAAAGTAACCATGAACACTTGATACTGTGAAACTATTGGTTGTGTTTGGTTGGTAGAAGTTTGGTTCCTTTGTTCACTATAAAAATCTCAAATTTTGAAAACCCAACAAAATGTATTTGCATTTCCATGCTTTTTTTTGTATGAAGTGGGAAGTTATGGATTACAAAACCAATAAACCAAATGTTTTCAACAACACATGAAATTTTACACCCACATATAGAAATTCATTACATAACATTTCTTCAATAACAGATTAAGTTATGGATAGAGAAATGGAGAAATTTATTTGTTTTATATGCTGTCATTAATTTCATTCATTAATTTTTTTCACAATTGTTGCTCTTTTTAACAATTATTTGTCATTTGTCTCTGGTTGATAGTTGTCTCATTGGCATTCATACCACATCTTTTTATTTTTGTATTGAAAAAGACATTTATTTATTTAAGCTAATACTCTGTAAATATATTTGTGTTGTGTTGTTTGGTTGCTGTTTTATTGAGTTTTGCTGAATTATTTTTTATTCATACTAAGAATTATTTGTATTTCTAGATTATGGTATTACAACAGGAGAACAGGATAACAGAAAAGGTAAAAGTCAAATTTTTTGTCAATTTCAAATACATAAAAAAGAAAACAGGAACCAGATTATGTTATAATTCTGTTTTTACTTGGCATATTCTAATCAAATTAAACCTAACCTTGCAATCCAGCCATTTTGCAACCTCTTTCTCACAAGAAGTCTTTTTTTGATCAAATTTTTTTTCATAATTTTCTATGAATAGTCTTTAATTATGATACCAACAGGTATAATTTTTTTGTTCTGCTTTACAGATTTAGGTGCAGTTTAAACAAAATATTGCTTCTTTGAAAATTAAAATAAGAGTAAATGGCACTTTGCAGGAGTGGCAGATCTTGATCTTGATCTGGTCCACATAAAACAAAGGTCTGAAACATCCAAAACTAATCAAAGCTCAGTAACAAACCTTATGAATGTACAGTCATGGAACAATTACTTACTGTGCAAACTCCATTAAAAAAAACCAATACAGACTAGAACACAATCAACAAACTTGAACACAAACACCACAGACTAGAACACAAACACAGACTAGAACACAAACACCACAGACTAGAACACAAACACCACAGACTAGAGCACAAACAACAGACTAGAACACAAACACCACAGACTAGAACACAAACACCTCAGACTAGAACACAAACAACAGACTAGAACACAAACAACAGACTAGAACACAAACACCACAGACTAGAACACAAACAACAGACTACAATACAAACACCTCAGACTAGAACACAAACAACAGACTACAACACAAACACCTCAGACCAGAACACAAACACCACAGACTAGAACACAAACACCACAGACTAGAACACAAACACCACAGACTAGAACACAAACACCTCAGACTAGAACACAAACAACAGACTACAACACAAACACCACAGACTAGAGCACAAACAACAGACTAGAACACAAACACCACAGACTAGAACACAAACACCACAGACTAGAACACAAACAACAGACTACAACACAAACACCTCAGACCAGAACACAAACACCACAGACTAGAACACAAACACCACAGACTAGAACAAAAACAACAGACTACAACACAAACACCTCAGACCAGAACACAAACACCACAGACTAGAACACAAACACAACAGACTAGAACACAAACACCACAGACTAGAACACAAACACCTCAGACTAGAACACAAACAACAGACTACAACACAAACACCTCAGATCAGAACACAAACACCACAGACTAGAACACAAACACAACAGACTAGAATACAAACACCTCAGACTAGAACACAAACACCACAGACTAGAACACAAACACCTCAGACTACAACACAAACACCTCAGATCAGATCAGAACACGAACACCACAGACTAGAACACAAACACCTCAGACTACAACACAAACACCTCAGTTCAGAACACAAACACCACAGACTAGAACACAAACACAACAGACTAGAACACAAACACAACAGACTAGAACACAAACACCACAGACTAGAACACAAACACCTCAGACTAGAACACAAACACAACAGACTAGAATACAAACAACAGACTACAACACAAACACCTCAGACCAGAACACAAACAACACATATTCGAACACAAACAACAGACTACAACACACAAACAACAGACTTCAACACACAAACAACAGACTACAACACACAAACACCACAGTTTAGAACACTACAGATAAGAAACACAAACACCACAGACTAGAACATGAACACCACAGAATAGAACACAAAAAACAGACTAGAACACAAACACCACACACTAGAACATTCACAAGATATTAGAACACAAACAACAGACTAGAACACAAAAACTACAGACTACAACACAAACACCACAGACTAGAGCACAAACAACAGACTAGAACACAAACAGCACACACTAGAACACAAACACAACAGATAAGAACACAACAGACTAGAACACAAACAGCACACACTAGAACACAAACACCACAGACTAGAACACAAACACAACAGATAAGAACACAAACACCACAGACTAGAACACAAACACCACAGACTAGAACACAAACACCACAGACTAGAACACAAACACCTCAGACTAGAACACAAAACACAGCAGACTAGAATACAAACACAATGGGCTAATATACAAGTACAATGGAATAAACTAGAAAACAAACACAATGGACTAAAACACCAACACAATGGACTAGAACACCAACACAACAGACTAAAAAACAAACATTGGACTAATACAAGTACAATGGAAGAACTAGAACACAAACACCAACATTACAAACTAGAATACAAACACAACAGACTAGAACACACACAATTGACTAGAACACACACACAATGGACTAGAGCACCAACACAACAGACTAGAATACAAACACAACAGACTAGAACACACACAAAATATTGGACTAGAACACATACAATGGAGCAGAACACCAACACAAGAATCTAGAACACAAGCACAATGGACTAGAACGCTAATACAATAGGATTGAACACCAAGATAATGAACTACAACACAAACACAATGGACTTGAACCCTAACACAATAGGATTGGTTTTTCCTATCGAAGGTCGGTGGTTTTCTCCGGGCACTCCGGCTTCCTCCACCAATAAAAACTGGCCGCCACGAAATAGCCCAAAAGTGGCGCTTAAAAGTGGCGTTAAAACACCAACAATCAATCAATCAATCAATAGGATTGGACACCAATATAATGAACTAGAACACAAACACAATGGAAGTGAACACTAATATAGTAGAATTGAACACCAACATAATGGTCTTGAACCCTAACACAATAGGCTTGAAACTCTAAAACTATTAACAGGAGGAGTTATTACATCTCAAACAGCCTCATCAAAGGTATTGTATAGAAAAAAATTAACAACATTTGTATATTTAGATTTTTATTGTTTACAGTACAGCATTCCTCAATCACTTTAGCAATTAATGAACAAAAACTTATTTACTTTATTTTCCTCTATAATACTTACTTTAGGAGATATGAGGAGTTTGTCAGTTAATCAAGAAAATGATTTCTTCAATGTTTTTTATAAATGTCAAAGAAATATTGATTAAAGTAGATGTTGGGTGTACATCAATGATACAGCAACCCAAACATACAAATAACCAAAACATTTCTGGACAACAACATAAGGTTACAGTTATCAACTATATCAGGTGCCTATACTGGACACTATGTTAGTTCTATAATGCCCAACTTTTTAAAGAAAATTTAACAAAGTCCATCAGAAATCTGACATCCAATTCCATGAAATAATTTTTAAGTGTGTGTATTATTTTTCCCTCTCAATGTTTTTTCTCGTATTAAATAATTCATGTAATGATGATTATTTGTAGAGTGTCGGTTTACATTCAACAGTAACAGGTCACTCAGTGGATATTTTACGTCACCAAACTTTCCAGGATATTATCCACGATTTACAGAATGTCATTATAAATTCATTGGGCAAAATCATAAAGTTAGAATAACTTTTGTTGAATATCAGTTGGGATCAAGGTACTCCACACACAAATTTCTTAATGTGTTGTTGCCTGGTTATATAAATGTACACTTATCAGCAGATCAAGTAATCAGGGGAGATAATTCTTGAATTTTCAAAATAAAAAAAGAAACAGATCCTCATGATTTTCTTATAAAAAAATATAGTTTTACAATATATTCAGTCATAATTCAATTTAATTGCAGTGCATGGAAAAGTCTTTTGACTATTTAAAAAGAATACAGTCTTGTTTTTTCTTAGGGAAGAAAACCAATGCCTAGTTCAAAAGTAGTGATTTATACTTTTTTACAAGACCTTCAAGAATTGTCCTAGAAATTTGATCTGCTGGATGTCATTTTTATATTTAGTATATTTTGTGGATTAATACAAGCTGTTTCAAGTTTGCATCTTATCTGTTTCAATTGCTACCTCAAATAATGAAGGATTGCAATTTGAAACATTTTTTCTGTAATTTCCACATTTTTGCACGCAGAAACTTTGTATTTGTAATTTTACACATCCACTTGTATTTTGTTTTTGGTTTCAGTATGCAAGTTCTATTATAAAAGTGATGTAAAAAAGAGCGGGTATTTTGCCTCGCCAAATTATCCGGGATTTTACCCAAAGAATACAGAATGTCAGTACACTTTTTTCGGGAGAAATAGTGAAGTAGTTAGAATTCAGTTTCAGGAATTTGAGGTGGATGGCATTACACCAAGGTAAAACAAAGGTTGAATAGGGAAACAAAAAGTGTATCAACCTTTCAATCTAAAGTGAAACATGTTCCTTTGATTTTGATACAAACAGTAGTAGTAAAATGATTAGAATATGAATTGCAAATACACAAAAAAATAGTTCTAGAGAATTTATTTATTTTGTAAAGAAGGATGTCAGGTAAGATTAAGCATTAACAATTTATTTACTTTGTTTAGTATTTCAAGTTCATATGCAAGATGACACAAATCACTTTTATACAAATTTGCATGTTTTATAAGATTTGAAATTTTTCGTAATAAATGTTTTTAATCTTCCTACACATTATTTCACGTGTCAAGCACAATTTTTTAATTCCTATAAAAACACTCAAGAATTGCATGATATGATGTTTTAATACCAACTTTTATAGAAGAGATGCATGACCTTTGGATTCATATCATATTATGTAATATATACCAGTTCCTACAAAAAATGGACAGAGTGCAATTAAGCCAAACTTTTCATATAAATTTGGACTTTTAATTTCAGTTTTCCATTTATGTCTATTTTATGGTTTAAATGATACCAAACAAAGACAAAAAAAAATGGTTTAGCATCTATGATGTCACACTAAAACTAGAAAAGTTGGTTCAAAGTGTTTTTTTTTAATAAAACGAAAAGATTTTTGATTGCTTCTTTTTACAGTTGGGTGATAAGGAGTATTTTAGTTTGATGTTCTGTCTCAGAATTGCTTTCATCTAAAGTTATTTCCCCTTTCACTCTTAATATTGCTTAATTAATGCTAAAAGTTTGATAAAAGTGTACATTTGAATTAAATTTGTCCTAAAATTGCTTAACCCTAGCAGTTTGAAATAGAATAATGTACTCCATTTTAGCTCACCTGGCCCACAGGGCAATGTGAGCTTTTCTCATCATTTGGCATTCCACTAAATTTTACAAAAATAATCTTCTCTGAACCTACCCAGCCATGAGTAACCATACTTTACCACACAATCATCTTGAGGTATATAGTTTAAAAAATATATCTGATAATCCTACCTGCCAACCAACATGGCAGCCAAGGCTAAAAAAACATAAGGTGGGGAGGGGGGGGGGGGTAAATTGCAAGTATTGTCTGTTATCTTATACACCATTATGCATAGTGAAAATCTGTTGTGGCAGACATATTTACATATTTAGAATATTATGATTTTAGCAGGGTAAGATCTACAAATAGTGAACATGACCAAAATCATTAACCAACTTGTAAGGGGTTATTGTTATTGAGTAATGATTATTACCCAGTTTTGTGTGTTTATTTTCATGGAACTATAGTAGATAGAAAAAACTATAAAAGCAAAAATTATCAACAGGACAAGATCTACAAATAATTTAACAAGGTAAAAATTGTTAGTCAAATTGTAGTCAACTCCTTATAGGAGTTATTTTCCTTTCATGATGATTTGAACTCATTTTTGTCTCGCCTGTGACAAAAGCCGCAGAAAGCGAGACATAGGGATTGCTTTCCGGCTACGGCGTCAACAATTGTTAAGTTTTCTGCTTAAGTTAGTTTGATAGGAACTACTTGTGATTGATCATTGATATTTTGTATGAAGATGCATTACTATCAGTACATATCAGTTTGACGACTATTTTGAGGCCCTGCCCCCTAGGCCATGGTCCAGTGACTGAATTAATTAGCAATTTTCAATGATAAATTTTCTGCTGAAATTAGTTTGATATGAACTACTTGGGATAGATCAATGATATTTTCTATAAAGTTGCATTACAATGAAAAGATCCACTAAAGTCTTTTGACATCAAAACTTTCAATAGACTTCTTTTAGGAGTTATCACCCTTAATTGACAATTTTTCCCAATTTTGGGCGTTGTTGCCTTTTAATCTTGAAAACTGTAATAGAGAGATAGAAAAAAATAATCAACAAGACAAGATCTACTACCAAGTTTACATGGCCAAAATCATTTGTCAGCATCTTATTAAAGTCATTACCCTTTATTTTTCCCTTTTTTTTTTTCATTTTTGCTTATTATCTGGAAAACTATAAAAGATAGATAGAAATTTTAAGTAGCAAAAATGATCAGCAAGTCAAAATCTACAAATAAGTCAGTATGACCAAGTTGTTGGATGTCTGTCTCCTTGTTGAAGTTATTTGCCCTTTAGTGATGATTTTTCCCAATTTTTTATTTTTGCCTTTTATCTTTAAAACTATAATTGATAGATAAAAACTTTCAAAGCAAAAATGATCAGCAAGACAAGATCTACAAATATTTTACCCATCATGCCTGAATTCTTCAGTCTACTCTTTATTGGAGTTATTGCCCTTTAATGATAATTTTTACTATTTTTTGGCATTTTTTGTCTATTATCTTGAAAACTATAATACTAGATAAATACAAACTTTAAAAATAATTTTAATATGATCAGCAGGATAAGATCTACAATTATGTCAACATGAGCGAAAATGTCAGTTTACTCTTAATACTGTTATTCCCCTTTAATGGAAGATTTTTACCAAAAAAGTGGCAATTGTTGAAGATGAATGTAAGCTAAACAGGCTTTTTAGAGCCTCTAGTTTTGGGAAGTAGTGTAACCCCATACCATAAGAACAAACTCTCTCTGGTGGAGAGTTGTCTCATTGAGGATCAGACCTCATCTTCTTATTTTTATATGTAAAAATCAGTTAGAAAAGCTTGACTGGTCATGTTGGCACAACACTCAAAAAACAACTACCGTAACATGAAATACAATAAGTACACATCAAATAGATTTACCCGGTAGTGTGTCTTGGAGTTTTTTTATTTCTGAAACTAAAGTAGAAAACAAGAAACTGTAAATAATCAAAATGATCAGCAAAAAAAGATCTATAAATAAGTCATTTGGACCCGTCAGACGGTGAAATCATCAATTGGCTACTTATAGGAGCTATTTTCCTTGAATGAGGATTTTTGCCAATTGTTTAAGTTTTAACCAGAAACTATTTGAAATGTTCCTATTGACTTGTATCAATCTATTTTATGCAAAAATGCCAGGTGAGCCATACAGGCTCCAAGATGTTATAGTATTCATTTTATCTTTATCACAAAATTAGCAAAAAACAAAACCCTCCGTCATGAATGTTTCCTACTGTACAGTAATATGTTATGATAATGACTATGAAATTTTGTTAGTTGATTATTACATAGCAGATGAATAAATATTAAGCTGGTAAAAATGAATGAACTATGTATAATTAAAATCAAATTTTGCACACAGTTCAAATTCAAATATCTTGAACCTTATCTTTGGCATTTTAATTTTTTTTATTTGAGCGTCACTGATTTTGTAGACGAAAAGCATGTCTGACGTACAAAATTATAAGTCTGGTCTCTTTGATGAGTATTTGTTTTAGTTAAAAGAAGACATTTCTATGCTAGACAACTTTTGTATGCTATGTGAGTGGATTACAATGAAATCTTAAGTAAAATCCAATATGATATTTTAACAGGTGTGAACCTAAAGATCGAGTAGACTATGTAGATTTCTCCAACTTTGACGGTGGAGCTCAGGACAAGAAAATGCACAAATTTTGTGGTCAAATGACTGAAAAAATGAGAGAGCCAATACAATCAGATCTGGAATTTTTCCGAGTAACATTCAAATCTAACAGTATGTATGAAGGAAAAGGATTCAATGCCACATATGAGTTTGGTAAGTAGACTAAATTATTGTCAGTTAAAAAATAGAATATGTTGAAGAAAAACATGAATTACAAAATCAATGAAACTCAATAAATCATCGAATATATTTATAGGTGATATCACCATCAGTATCCATACAACTGTTAAGGGGCAATCAAAGACCTTTAGTGGAAGAAAAAGGGACAACACCATGGCCAAATAGAAAAAAAATCAATGACAAAAACAAGTCCACAAAACAGTACACAGAAAACAAAATATTGAGCAACATTAACCAAAACAATATTTCAAATAAATAACATTCTTGAAATTTAACATATTCCATTGCAAAAGAAAAAAAATTTGGGGTCCATGTGCTCATTTTTATATGACCGCAAAAAATTTTGCGGTCGTATATTGGTATCACATCGTTGTCGTCCGAAGACATTTGGTTTCCGGACAATAACTTTAGTATTGGTGAATAGAAATTTAAACATAAGGTTTATAACCACTAAAGGAAGGTTGGGATTGATTTTGGGGGTTATGGTCCCAACAGTTTAGGAATTAGGGGCCAAAAAGGGGCCCAAATAAGCATTTTTCTAGTTTCATGACAATAACTTGTGGAACAGTGTATGGATCTCTCTGAAATTATACCACAAGTTTCCATACCACAAAGGGATGGTAAGGATTGGCTTTGGGGGGGTTATGGCTCAAACCGTTTAGGAATTAGGGGCAAAAAAGTGAGTAAAAACAAGGGTGTCCTGGTTAATGGACAATTACTTAAGTACAAATTATAGTGTAAGGGAGGTAATTGAAGCACAACTTTGAATTACCTCCCTTACACTGCTTTCAAATTATGTATAAAGAATTTTTGTATTGTCTTGAGGTGATTAGCTGTCAATTCATTTTTAGAAGTTACTATTTTAATAATTTTAAAAATGCTGGTTAAGGTAAAATAATTTTAGCTATGATTATGTATGTCATTTTCTATTTTAAGACTTTTATGATGTATTTAAATGGGTTATTATGGTTGCAAACTCCATTAGAAATTTGAATTGAAATTATGACCATGACTGAGGAAAGGTTTTTTTTTTTTTGGAAAAAGGGGGGGGGGGGGGGGGGGGTGGTGGCGGGGACAATTTTTTCTCCTCAAGATTTCAGAAATCAAAAAGAAAATCCTTCAAATTGTTTTTTGAAAAAAAAGGGGGGGGAGGTCAATTCGCAACAGCATAGTGTATTGCACAAAAGCAAAAAAATTGAATATAAAAACCAATTCTAAGTTCTTTGACAACAGTTATTCTGTGTCAGAAACCTATTATGTGTCAAATATTGAATTACAATCCAAATTCAGACCTGTATCAAGCGCGAATATTGTGTCCATTTTGCCCCAATTGTGCAGGGTTGGACCTCTGCGCTTGTATCCAGCTGCACTCTGCAAAGCAATTTATTAAGCTAGAAATAAAAAACCTTGTTTATTAAATGATTGAGATTGCATTTCTTCCTAAATTACTTTGCAGTGTATTCTTATTGCAACATCTTCGTGCAGCTATTCCAGCTTTATAACAAAACACTTTAACAATTACTTCCATTTAGGAATGTATTGATGAAAGGAAACTAATTAGTCTTCCCTTGCCTAGAATTTTATGACCCTCCCTCCCCCTGTAGATTTTGTGCTTCAATATACAATATGTTCGTTTTCTGTCTTAAATATTTTCAAATTCATGTATTGTATTTGATAACGTTGGTAATTGTTCCCAATTTATTATAAAAATGACGCATTAATTTTGGATGCGTTTATTATCCACCCTTGCTACAGTATCTTATGCCCTTAAATCGTAAGAATATATGATACTAATTTACTGATCACATTTTAAAATTTCTGAATAAAACCTTTTGGAAAATTCAGCATCAATGCTGTGACTTGATGAAACTACTTTAAGTGAATACAATACAGTTTTGATCCCACTGTGATTTTTTACAAAAATTTACATACAAGCTCACTCTCACATCAATTCAAGTATGTAATAAAAGATGTACCTTCATGTGCTACTTTTAGAGATAAATGGGGTCCCAACTTTAGACATTTACTCAAAGTTTCGTGTTTTTTAAAAATACATTTGAAATATCTTCTCAACATAAAGTATGCTCTAAATTTGTGTAACAGTTCTTTGGAAATAATTCTTTTTTTCTTTAAATATTATTAATTTTAGAAAAAAATGGCAAGTTTTGCTGAATATTTATCTCATTTTTTAAATTTCATCGTTGCTTTGTTCATTAATTAAAATTGGTAAAAATTATCTTGATACATAATTAAGTCAAATGTCATTTTAAGATAGAAGAGTCAATTTACTCGTTTTCAAGCGAATGACTAAAATCAGTCAAAAAATGCATCTTTTCCCATTATATCACAGTTTGACGTAGCGAAAAATAACATTTTACATTAGTGACATCATTATCTCCCCTGTAACTGTGACAATCTTAAAACCCCGATCTCCGAAGTGAGATTTGCTACTTTAAGCAATATTAAAATTTCATGTTCAACTGAGACCGTACCCACTGTTCAAATAATTTTCACAAGTGATCAATTGATAATGACGTAATATACCTCCTACGAGAAATTCTATTTGGGGAAATGTTGTGTTGTTCATCATTATTCAGTATATACAAGTCTAATTGTCAAAAATGAAAATCTTGTATAATATTTCCTTTTTGACCTATTGAATGTCGCAATATGACCCTATAACCTGTATAAAAGGGAATTATTGTTTTGTAATAGAGTGCCAATGGTTCATCAGTTCAACATATGACTGTATAACCTGTAAAAAGGGAATTATTGTTTTATAATAGAGTGCCAATGGTCAATCAGTTCAACCAGAGACACATATATATGTCTCTGGTTCAACACTATATTCTGCAAACTTGAAAAATTAACACATTTTATTAAAAGTCAACTAGAACACACCCACAACATCACAGGTCCGTGACTGAATTAAAGTACCTATGCCTTATTTTTAGCCTGGAAATTTAGTGTTTGTATTGTCATCTGATAAAGTCATGCTGATTGTAAGGTGCACAGTTTTCTCTGCCTTCAATATCTTTCTGTTTGAACCCGTCCTAGTTTTCTTACTACAATAAACTTACTATAAAGTAAATTTAATTTTTTAACTAATTAACCAAAATTAATAGTAAGGTATTGATGTGGAAGAAAACTTTGTACTATAGTGTAACATAGATATAAAACAACTACTGGAAGAATTCCAGGTTCTCCTGATAGAGGAGGGATTTACAGAAGGTAACAGGTAGCTACAACCGAAAACTATATGTGACATTTACTATTCAGGTATCGGTATCAGATTTAACAGGAACTTTTTAATAATTGGTAATATTAATTTTGTGGAAAACAAAAGGGCCTGGAATGGTGTAATTTTTAAACAACACCATTGTCCAATATTTGTTATATATAAGGTTGAATTCTTTGATTGGTTGTTTTTACGTCATGCCGGCTAACAATTTGGACCTTGTCATTTTGATAGTATAGATTTGGCCAATTTTGCCACATAACGTTAAGCAAGCAACAATCATTTAATTACTCAGTCTCCTCCAAACCTTTGTTTAAATCTCAATGATGTTCTTAAATGAAAACTTTTATATTTTCAGTTATAAATGAAGAAACAACGTTTTCCATACCTCCAAAGAGTTTGGTAGATACTGCTAATACAATGCATACATCATACATAGACAACAAATGTTATTGTATAGTATTTTATTTAGTATTAACATTGACTATACAATTTTTGACTGGCTGCACATTATGATAAAAAGTTTATATCCTTTCATCTGTGATAAAATATGAGTTGATAACGAATTTGAAAAAATTATAGAAGGAAAAGATGTAAAAATGATCTTGGGTTTAAAGATTACTTCCTACATACTAGAATGTTAAAGCTGGTTTGTATTTGTAAAAACAAAATTGAGAGAAAAAATTTATTGCCTTACTTAAGATGCAAATGAAATTTAAAGTATTGGTAAATTGTAAATTCAGAAATGCTTGTGTGCACATATTATTGCTAATTTTGTCAAATGGACAAAAATGTGAAATTTCAGATAATGCTGGTATTAAATTTAAATGATGCAAATATTTATTTTTGCGACCTATCCTGTTGCAGTTTTCACAATAATAACAACAACACAAAAAAATCTGAATTTTACAGTATGATAAAAAAATATTCAAAGTTAACCAAAATGATTTATTTATTTATCAGATCTAAAATAAAACTTGATCCCTAAAATAATTTGGTCTTTGTAACACTGAGCACTCAGTTGATATATTCTCAACACCCATAGAAAAGCAACATCTATATTACAATTCATTATACTGAAAATGCATACCGTCTTTAAGACTGATTAATCAGTCTGAATATTACTCAATCATGATATGTATGTAGAAATTATTTGTTATTGTTTTTTATATTTTCTGAATGTGTGCTTTTCCAGTCATATTTAACCTTAAAAGAAGCTTGTATGTATAATTTTGCATGTATAAAACAACTTTTCCACAAAAAAGTTCCAAAAATTAAGAAGTTATACACTTATTTTATATAATACATTCTCATTGGGTGTTGGGTTTTTGATGTCACAGAATAGAAAATGTGTAGAAATTGCTCTGATTTTCTCTGGCTTTGACATTTGGGTTTTGTCTTAAATTATTTTTTATAGATACCTTAACATTTGTAACAATATTTTTACCTAAAAATCTACTATCTTTTTTGTAAAGTTTTTCACCTTATACATTTTGATTGGTCTTTTGTTGTCAGAAATTTAAGTATGTATCTGTGTTTTATTGAATTTTAAGTAAAAAAAAGTAATGTTCTGAAATATGGGAAGCAATTCTTCTTTCATAGGGTAATTTTTTCATAGTATGATGAGATTCTTAAATATATTAGGCAACAGTTTCAGAATTATGGTTTGACCCTGTGAAAGCCTCATGAGTTGTAGTCAGGTTCTTTAAAGGTCCTGTTGTAGAATTATGGTATTGTCTGTTTGTACAACAGGAATCAAAGGTGGTAGCGTCAGAATACATTTTGAAATACTTTAAATATGTAAAATTCTTGACGTAGACTGGTCGAGAACCTGATACCAAAATATCTTTTAACAGGAACTCTTTTTGGGAAATATTCTTTTAACATAAAAAAGGGTTACCAAAAATCAGGTATAACACTTTAGACATGAACTTCAATTCCTCTTATATACAAAGAAAAAAACGAACTTTAAAACTACTATGCTAATTTTTGCAGGAAATTTTATAGGTACGGTGACCAGTTACTCTCACTTTTGAATCTTGCCATTAAATAATAGAATTTACATTTAATTGGGCCATACAAGATACATTTTGATTTTGTGTAGCAAGAAGAGATGAGTGAACCAAATACATAATCAGTCTGACCATAAATTTGGACAGCAACTAAAACTTATTTTAGAAAATAAAAATTCTGCCCAGTTTAGCCTAGAAAGGAATAGAAATATGTAGTTTTTGTTTCAGATCTAAATGCACATATCTTTAACCTTTCTCTAGTCAATGCACTAAAAAACAGCACAACCTTGTATCAGAACAATGGAATTAATATGTATGTATAGTCTATTCATGAGTTATTTTGGAAGAAGGAAAATAAAAAAATGTTGCGTTAATACCATGAAATCAACATGATCAAGCAAGTAACTTATTATGAATAATAGTCCACATTACCAGTTGCAAACAATAACCAAGCTTTCAGTAAGGAAGTGGATGTAAGGTTTGTATTGCACTACAGTGTTTATCATATCTTCTATGCAAATTTAGTTCAATGCTGTAGCTATGTAAATAGAGTCTGCAAATTTCCATTCTAGTCACATACATTGTGTGTATATTTAATCATCATAGTATTATATTAGTTATTGAATGACTGTGCAACATATCATTGTTAAAATAGTAGGATTATTTTACACAATTTCTATTTAGACTTTACTTCAAAGATTTTTTAGAATTAAATATAACGCTTTAAAATCATTGTGCTTTATTAGTGCAAGTATTTGTTTAATCCTGAGTTTGAACCCATTTAGAAAATGCTAGGTCAGTGATTAAACTTACTGCCAATTAATTTTATGTATTTTCAGTTGCTCTTCTAAATCAGAGCTGTTGAGTTGATTAAGGTGGTACATAGCACTACAGGGAGACAACTCTGTAAAAATCAGCTGAATGTTTTAATCATGTTCTATTGTTAAGGAAATATTAAGCTTCTCAATGATTAAAATTAGTGTTTGTCAAACTGCTAAATATCCAATGAAATTTTTCCAATAAAGTGTGTGGTTCAAGTTTTTTGAAATTTTTATATTTTTGTCAAAGGGTCAAAGTAAATATTTTGTCAAAATTTTATGAAAATTGAATGCGCCAAATTAATTTTAGTCGAGGTATTTGGTACCACCTTAAAAGGTATATTTTATTTCTAGTCAAACTGTATGTATGTTATTGACATGAAAGAAACCATTATGTAAATATTCAGATTTAATCTATCTTTTTCATACATTTGATCATTAAAGAACAAATAATGGATATTGAAATCTGTACATTTTCTTTTACTTTGCCAACCCCCATAAAATTATTGGCATCACTTATGTTTTAACAGAAGACCAATTTGTTTCTTATGTAGATAGTATCAAAGATTAGTTAGTATATTTCTATTACATCAGTTATGTAGTTAGTGGTCAACTTGTTGGCGAGATTATAATGTTTGTTGCTTGTCTTATGAATGCAAGATTATTTCTGTTAATGACTTTATTATGTAAGCATAACACAAGCAATTGTTGGTTTTGCATGTTATTGTTATATAAGGTTATAATCTACCACACTGTACAAATGAGGTGAAGATCTCAAAGGGACATTCAAAACTAACAAGTCAAAGAGAAACTGACAACACAATGGTAAAAAATGAAAAACCAGTAAAAGACAAACAACAGTCTACTTAACAATACATAGAAAACTTAAGACTGAGCAACATTAACCCCTGCAAAACAACGGGTGTAATTTCGGGTGCTTCGGAAGGGTAGGCATGCAGAATCTGCTCCACATGTGGCAACCATCAGGGTGCTTATCTGAGGTACAAATCGGAGATACGCTTAATCAGGCGATGTCACAATCGAGGAAAAAAGTATAACAAAAATACCGAATTCCAAGGTAAATTCAAGAAGGAGGAAGTCCATGAAAGCTGACAAAATCAAACATTATCAACTAACGAAACTAGTGAAAGACAACTGTCATATTCCTGAATTGGTACAGGCAATTTCCGAAGAAAATGGTGGTTAAACATGTTAAACCAGGTTTTATAGCTAGCTAAACCTCTCACTTGTTTAAAGTTTCGTTATAGTTCACAAAATTAGGTAGGCAACCCAAACAGGCATAATAGGTTAATAAGACAATAAGTGGGACCCAGCAGCGAAAACTGTGTAAACATAATCACAGTTTGGGAAAAGAGAACTGGGTTGTGGTTACGAAATTTGGAACATATACATGGTAATCTGTGACATTGATATTCCATATCGGTCAACCAACTTGCTATGGCGTCTGTAAGACTTTCAAAGGGATGACTTTTTTAGGACAATTTTACCACTTGAAATCATGGTAGAAAAGATCTTGCATACCATATCAACTGGGAGATGTATACTCCATATTCAGTCGCTTCTGGAATGTTGCTACATAGGAAAGAAAAGTTAACAATCGGGAAGCAATTAATCATCTCTTTTTTTCGTAAAGTTTTGTTCTTCATTGTCAATATCTTAATTAATCAAGATAAAAAGCAGGCTTACCTGTATCTGAAGTATCCTTTATTTCAAGTTCGATGAGATAGATTCGTTCAACATAGTCTCCAACATTTTAACTTTTTCACGAGGACATCATCTATATAGAGGAACGTGAGGTAAAAGGATAATGCCTGCTTTTTCAAGTTTTGTACGAAGTCTACCTCAAATGAATAAAGAAACAAGTCGGCAGGAAGAGGTCTGAGGGACGAAGTTTTACTAGTTCTTTCAATCTTTAAGTCTACAATTGAGGGGGGATTAGTGTAGAGTGGAGAAATCAGATTTTTATTTACTATTGCAAGAGGAAAGATACATACACATGTATTGTATGTACTAAAATAGAGCTTCAGAAAAGTTATGTATCCACATCTGATTTACAGCGCCCCTTAGAGTAGGTAGTTTCACAGTAACTGAATCCAGACTTTGATTGCTGGTAAAACTGATGTTGATAGTGTTTGGGAAGAGGTTTCGTGGAGCACTTGGCAAACCCAGCAATATTACGCTGTTTGTAATGATATGGGTGTAATCTTGGTATCCAGTTCAGGGAAGGAAATAAAGTTCTTTATATTTCATTGATTTTCCAAAGGAACCTAGAAAAGACTTGATGGGTTTTTTATTCCTAAAGTTTTACATTGGTGAACCATTCAGGTTTAGATCCAGGATTTTGAAAAAAGGAGGCCCCTGGCAAGCCAATGTTTGGAGTGATACCTGTAAAATGTGTATGCATTTATTATATACGAAGCTATATTGGGGGACATTAAACTGACATTAGATTACAAACTAACATGTAAACTATGGAAAAGTTCAGTCTAAAGACCATGAAATAGGGTCAAATTATTTCCATGGAAATAAGATGTGTCAAAGGTATTTTTTGTTTTTTTTTATCGTTAATTGTAAGTGGTACATACAATGAGTTGTTCCTCTTAAAGTGACTTAGTCATGAACTTTAACAATTGTTTGAGCCGACAGAAACAGCACACGTAGTCTCGACTCCGCAACTGTGTCAAGGTTTGTAAAAAAATAGTTTAGATCTAAATGACTAGGTAAATAGCATCAAATATTTGAAACCTAGTGTAAGACCTACAAAATTCAGCGAACAGTAAAACTAAGGTAAAGAATAAGGTATGGTGCTACTAGCATTTATAAGTGATGTGCATATTCCAATTTTAACCTTTAGTTATCAAAAGTGGATAAAGCAAGTAGGTAGTCAAGTGTTATCTAACTTTCATAGGAATCTGAGATAGGTTCAAATACAAGTAACATAAGAAGCGGAAAAAACATACTGCTATGTGACGTGCTTTATCGTCCCAAAATATCAGATCATCCATCCTATATGTGCATGAAGCAGATATAAGTAAACTCATCATAGATACCAGGATTAGAATTGTGTACGCCAGCCGCGCTTTTCTTCTACAAAAGATTCACCAGTGACGCTCGAATCAAAAAATTAAAAAAATAGCCAAATAAAGTTGATAAATCATAGTCCAAATATACTCTGTCACTTACATGTTAAAAAGATATCATCCGATGTGTAATCCTGTTTGAATGACAGAATACTATGATCACCGAAACGTCATGACCAAACATTCAACTAAATACACACAAAAAAAACATAGTAAAACAACAGCCAATAGGCACTGTGTTCACAGGGTATTATGTATGTGATCATGGTGCTAAAGGACTTAAAATGGTCATCTTCAAACTCAGAAGTCTAAAATACACGGACAATGCCAAGGCAAAAAATAAAAAACGATCAAAAGACAAACAGAACACAAAACATGAGATCAAGAAATCAAAACAACACGTTATAATTAGCATGCGTCCGAAGCGCTTTTCTGAGTTTACCTTCATCAGGAACACTCAAAAGCATGATCTTTGAACAAAACAGTTGAAGAGCTATATGATAAAAATGACATAAAAAAGATAAATATACTAGTTAAACAGCTTAAGGAAAACCCACACCCAGTTATAAGAAGTAATACTTGATGAAAAAAGTGACATTTGGAAAACACATGGAAGCAGTTTAAAGAAGAGTAAATAGAAACTTATAAAAACCGAGAGACATCAAACAAATAAGTAAGATCTAAACAATGAAACTACTGCACTATTGTCTAGTCAAGTTAGCTATTGAATACAACCTTCAAGTATGGTAGAGTTAAGATAGAAATACAAAAAAAAAACGCCTATATACGAACTACGCCAGGAAGGGAAGCCCTAGAAGTTGAAACAACGGTATGCCCTATAGACCAAAGAATCAACGAAATAGCAGTGGCAAAATATGTTTAAAAAATATCAACAGAAAAGGGGATAGGAAACCTCAACATGGCTTCGTTACTGATACAACTGGATGATGAAACATCAGTACACACGTCTGAAACTACAAGAGCAGTAGCCAATTTTATCGACAAAACAGGGTGATTTGGACAATCGGAACCACCTCAACATCCCTCTTAATACCAGACATACATACAAAAACCACAGAAAGAATATATATCCACATTTGTGTAGAATTCACATTGAAGTAGAGTGGAACCATAAGGTCTTAAGATTGAGGATAAAAGAATACAGCTAACTTTGAAGCTACAAAAAGGGCCAATACAGAAACAATCAGTAAATAAATACAAATAAGAATATGAGGTATGAGTGCCAATGAGACAATTCTCCATCCAAGTCACAATGTATAAAAAGTTAACAATTATAGGTCAAAGTACGGACTTCAACATGGAGCCTTGGCTCACACCGAACAGCAAGCTATAAAGGGCTATACAAATACAGTTAATTGTCAATCATTCTCCTATATCTAAGGTATTATATTTGACAAAAATACTCGGAGTTCACACAGTTTTGTTATGCATACATGCATATAAGGTGTTTAATGGGCATAATGCCTGCCAACATCAAAAATCCATAAAAGAATATGACCATTTACACATTGTGTCATACTACAAACGAAATATGAGAGTTATTGGATATAAATAGCAGTAATATGTGTTCATTATATAAATAACACATAGCGGAGAGAGTGATAGGACAGAGAGTTACCCCGAGAAAACATTGTAAACCGAGGCAAACTATTAATTGATTTTGGAAACTTAACCAAAATCTATGAAGCACTAGGTCATAGTGATCTTCGTTTAACCAGATGGTGACAAACTCTTAAGATGCATATCTCTTCACATGTATAGATATTTCAAAACTTATAGATACCAAGATTTCAACTTCGACTTAAAATATATGAAATGTTTATTACACATGTTTAAAAGATCATATTACCTATGCATGGTTGCCGAATTATCAACGCATAAAATGTAGGTTGTAATTGCCTTCTTTTATCTGGATGCCGACATACTCCCAACAGTGCATATTTAAGCAAGTTTTGATGCTTTTACTTAAAGTTACAGATATAAACTGTGGTAGAAAAATTACCGAGTCAATGTATCATGAAATTCAGGTAACGGTGACCGACTTTTGCTCATACGGTCTACACCCCAAAATGCATATTTACACAATTTTTTTTTTTTTTAATTTTCATTTTTTATTGAAATCTGTTACATTTGTTAGTATGGAAAACATCGAATACCGGTACCTTTTTCCGGCCTCGTTAAAGTTAGTAATAGAACATGTAAATATATATCTGTTAGAATTTGTTAGTTCATTTTACAAAACATTTTATCAGCTGTAGTTACTTAATATACTACCACATTTCTAGGTATAAATTATGCATTTAAAAAGAAATATAACATAATAGAATGTTCCAAAGAAGGACC